ATCTTGTCAAATTTTGAGGTGTCAAGATTATATATATCTCCGGATATATGAGGTCAAAATTAGGTGTAATTTATTTAAGATACATTGTATTTGAGCGAATGTAATATTACGAATCTTGTCAAATTTTGATGTGTCGAGGTACATGTATCTTGGGATACACGGTCAAAATTAAGTATAATTTATTTTAAATACACCTGTATTTAAGTGAATTTGTATGTACCAAGAATACATAGGCTTTTCATCTTGATCACATATATGATATTTTAGATACATATATCTAGTATGTATCCAATGTGATTCACAATATATAAACAAATCTGCTCGCCTCCCTGTTGTTTTGCTCATCTCTCCCTATATATGCGATAGCAAAAAAATATTTATCTATAAAAATATTTGTGTAATTAGATAGTTTGTCGGGAAAACATTATACCCACAAAAATATAATTCTGTTGGAGGGATATTATAAGTGACGTGGGAAACACGTGATAGCATGAGCCTCATCCATTTCATCAAACAAACGCATATTCGCATGACGAAATCTCACAAAATACTTGAGCCACAGACCTCACTCTCTCTTCCCATTTCTCTGTAAAAAAAAAAAAAAACTAAAAAATCACTTCTTTCTCTACTGTTTCAATGGCCGGTATGTTGGAAACCATTGCAATTCCACGCGCCTCCGTTTTCTCCTCGTCGTCGGCGCGTTCGGTTCCTATTGCCGATTTGTCGGTCTCCGGTGGCCGTCGCTCCTCGGCAGTTAATTTTTCTCAGTTCAGTGGACTTAAGGTGCAGCTGAATCAGTCGCCGGTTTCTTTCAGCTCACGATCGGAATCTGTTCGCCGTGGTGGACGAATCGTCTGTGAAGCTCAGGAAAGTACTACTGTTACAGGTGTGTGTTCTCTCTTTTCCTTCCCCTCAAATTCAGGAGACTTTTGAAATTTGCGATCTTTGATTTAATTTACGTGAGACTATTTGATTCACTTATCATTGTTTTTAGATATTTCAAGTCAGTCTGGTGTCCCGCCTGCTCGTTAGCAAGTGTCTCGTGTCTCGTGTCCTGCCTCTCTTTTTCAACAATCTCAACCGAGTGCTTCGTTCCCCTCCTTTTAGGCGAGCTACTTCGTTTCAGCCTTTTTTTAAAATTTTGAAACACTTTCAGCTTGAACTCTATTCGTTTGAGCTCACAACCCTTCTCGACCTGTCTTTTCAGATTCGGTTGATATGAGAAACAAATTGTTGTGTGAATAAATCAATGTCTATACATAAGCCAATTTAGCACAAATTTTAAGTAAGAAAGCACGATTCTTAAAATTTGTGGTTTAAAATTCTCCTTGTGATTTATATAGCTATAAATTATTTTATTAAAAATAAAAATTTAATTTAAAATTATTATTAAAAAAATGACATTTTCTCTGGAACAACTAAAAGAGAAGGAACCAACATTGGTTGTGGTGCACTGATGGGAGTACTTCACCCTTAACCAAAGGTCTCGTGTTCGAGTCTTGGGTATGGAGAAAATTTTGTTGGGAGCGTCACCCCCGAATGGGCCCTGCAGTGCGCAATTCGAATTTAGTCGGGACTCCAATGTGGACTCTAAATACGGGTGGGAAACAAAAAAAAAAAAAACTAAAAGAAAAGGGTGTATGGTGTACAATATGATTATTTCATAATATTGAGTGGGTATAAAATATTTGATATTTGGAGTCTTAAATGCAAGGTAACGTTTGTATGGTTATAAAGCCATTCATAGAGAAGATATTAAAATGTGTTGTTCTTTTTCAAATGAAGGTCAGACAAAAAGTGGAAAGAAAAAAGTAATTGAATAACATTTACTCCGTTTTGTTTTAAATGTAACACTCTTTTTTTTAATCAGTTAAAAAAAAGAACAATATCCTTCTGTATTTTTAGTATTTTTTGTTTTAATTTATGTAACACATTTTTTTTTGTAATCCATCCCTAAAAAGAATAGCGCATTTCCATAGTTAAAAAATAAGTTAACTTTCAAAAAATCTCCTTTTTCACTTAATGAAATGATTTATAATTACACAAATAGTCAAAAAAAAATTTAAAACCACAAATTTCAAGTCTATTCCTTTCTTTCTTTAGGTTTGAGTCAAGTTAAACTATATCTCATAAATTGGAACAAAAGGAGAAACAATTTGACATTAGACTTTACATTTTATTCTTAATGAGATAGTTAGCTTCATAAATATCTCTAGTTTATTTTAGACTACAAATTTCAAAAATTTTGCTTCATTCTTAAATACGTCCCAATCAAACGGAAACACATAATAAATGAAGAGAGTATTGTCATGTGCATGTGGAATAATCCTCCAAAAATAGTGCATTTGTGAAAAATTCGACAGAAGTGCGACAATATTTTTGATGAGTCTAAGCAACATAAATGTAAGTTGTGTCTCTTTGACCTTGTGTTAACTTCAGATATAGGGAATGCGAACTTTTTAGGCTTAATTCTTCAGTAAAGTGGGAAGCATTTTTTTGTGATTTTACGCGATTATAGAGATTGCACTAGAAGGGGGAGCCTTGGAGCAACAATTAAGTTGTCTCCGCCATGAAATCTATAGGTCGCGAGTCCGAGTCATGAATTATTAAGTCATTGACTCTTTTGTCAGGGTAGGCTGCCTACATCACACCCTTCCTAGGATGTGGTCCTTCCCTGGATCCTGTGTGAATGTGGCATGCACCATGCTAGCCTTTATAAGGATTGCTCTAGCATCTAAAGTAATCCTTAGTTGGAAAAATAAGATCAGATGTTGTAAAATTTGCTATTTTGGATTCTGACTAACAACTATCAACACACCCAATGTGATCTCATAAGTGACGTCTAGGGAGGGTGGGGTGTACGCAAACCTTACCCCTACCTTTGGTTTGTGACTGAAGAGGATATTAAGATATTTGATGCATCATCTATCTCGGGTAGTAAAAATTCCGTATCGTTTCTCAGTTTTAGTTTGCTTTGATATTAGCATGAATCGGAGCATGATTTGCTCCTAAAGGCATTGCTTTTGCAGAAACTTACACCAGTTATCAGCTTCTTTCTTTGTGTAATTAACATGATTTATGGAAAATGCAGCTGCTGCTGTTACTGATAAAACATGGAAGTCACTTGTAATCGAGTCTAAGTTACCCGTCCTGGTTGAATTTTGGGCTCCGTGGTGTGGTCCATGCAAAATGATCCATCCCATCATTAACGAACTAGCACAGGAATACGCTGGCAAGTTCAGTTTCTTCCAGCTGAATACAGATGAAAGCCCCTCCATTGCAAGTGAATATGGTATCCGAAGTATCCCAACTGTCATGATTTTCAAGAATGGAGAGAAGAAAGACGCGGTGATTGGTGCAGTTCCGAAAACAACATTGGCCACGAGCATCGAGAAGTTCTTGTAGTACAATGGTGCGCACATATAGATACGTTTCGTAAGAATTTTTTGCTGTTTTTCTTTTCCTTTATGTATATTCTATTTTTGCCTTCAAAAGCACAGCTAGAATATAGTACTTAATAAACCTGAAAATGTTCCTGTATAGATTATGGAGCTGTGTTTCCTCTTACTTCAGAATCCACTGGTATTTTTTGCTCTACAACTGAAGTAATATCCCATTATGTTGCTCGGATTCTTCAAAATGTGACATGTGTATGTCCAATCCTTCAAAAATAGTGTAATTTTTGAGGATTCAATATGGGCTACACAAATAGCCAAGAGTTATTGCTATGAAATGAGCTCTACATTGTCATTGTATAAGATGGTATTATCAGGTTAACAACAACATATCTCGTGTAATTCCACGAAATAGGATATGAAGAGGTTAGAGTGTACACTGATCTTATCAATACCTTAGAAGCAGAGGCGGAGTCAGGATTGTCACTAAATGAGTTCAAAATCTGTAGAAGTAGACACACAAACTAGCCGAAAGGGATTTGACATCTATTATATATACATAAAAAATTATTTTAGTCATGTATATATAGTATAATTTTCCGCCGAAGGGTTCGGATGAACCCCTAACCATCGCCCCTACTTAGAGGTAGAGGGATTGTTCCCGATACCGCTGCCGCTTCAGTGAGTTGAGATTTCAATTTCTCAAGCAGCGGTTGAACTACATTGTTGTCCACGGGTTTGGTTGAATTCACTAATTTTGTCTCAAATTTTATATTTGTATTAAAAAAATCATTTGATAAACGGAAATTGATCCACCAACAATTTTATCAGTGTGTAATAGTAATTATTCCTTCCTTCTTAATTAAAAATTTGAATTCGATACATAAAATCACATTTGTTAGTGTTTTACCTTGGGTTATTTGCACGAGTGCTCTTATTTGGGGTAGTCTTTAATTTTTATTCTTCAAATTTGCGCATTTTGAATTTTGTCAACAACACTTTTAACAAAAAAAAGTATACGAAAATACTCCTAACATCAAGAAAAAAATTTGCAAGGCACAAGTTATGGCGAGTAAGGCATAATTTATTCCTATGAACTTTTGTCACATAAGGTAAACGTTCTCTAAATTTATTTTTATTTTTATTTTTATTTATGGCTTGAAATTAGATACTACATGATTTATAAAGAACAAGGTAAAAGTTTTCCAAACTCATGTCTTGCACATTAGAAATTACACCATTTATGTTGAACAACCCATGGATATGGAGAAAATCCGAAGCGTCACCTCTGAATTGGCCTGCGTTACCTCCGAATGGACCTGCAGTGCATGATTCAAATATAGTCCGGATACTAATGCGGGGTCCGGGGATGAAATAAAAAAAACTCATAAATTTTCATTAAATTAGAATTAGGAACAAAAATTAAAGACCTCATTTTAATAGAGATATTAAAATTGTAATTTCATATTAAAATTAACTCCTAAAATTTATACTTTAAAAAACTCAAATTTCAATACAGATATAACTACCGACCAGAGAAAAAAAATACTAAACAGATCCAAGTGGACCTCCTTCTTTCTCTCCTTATTTGCGGTTGAGAAAACATTTTACTGTTTATAAATACACAATTCCCAAAAAAAATTCACGCCCATTTCATTGCTTCTCCATTTTTCTCCTTTCAATTTCTCCTCCAATCACTTCCAACGACGCCGTTTATCTTCGAGACTCGCCGTCGATCATACTCTTCCGTTCTCCGACGCGCCGGTACAATCTCCAGCTCTTTCATTCTTATTCGCAAAATGTATTATATTAATTTTTTTCTGTTTGTTTTAAATTTTTGTTTTTCTATGATTTTTTGCTTCGTAATTAAGAACATAGTGTAATGCAAATGAAGTTTTTCACATTGGCGATTTGCTTGTATTTAGTCCGTAGGATAATTGTGAAAATTAGATCCCAGCAGAGATAGAAAACACTTTTTTTAATATGTATAATCCTTGGCTGGCCGAGTTACCTGGTGCTTGTGATGGAAGGTAGCAGGTAGTAGGTGGAATAGCTGAGGTGCAAGCTGGCTTGGACACCACAATTATATTTAAAAAATGTGGAAAAGTAGAGAACATATAATTTGGCTTAAAAGATTAAAAAAAAAATTAGTAATTGGAAAGAAATGGATCCGAATAATTTTTGTTAGTCCAACCTGAGTAATTTGAGATTGAGATGTACGTGATTGATTGAAATGTGTTGGTTCATGATTTGTGGAGTGATTTATCTCGTTTGATGGGTATTTTTCATGCTTGAGATTGTTGAGATGCGAGCGAGCTGGCTCAAACACCAAAGTTATATTTTAAAAATGTGGAAAGAAATGGATCTGGATATTTTTTGTTAGTCATACGGCCTGAGTAATTTGAGATTGAGATGTGCTTGATTGATTGAAATCTTATGGTTCATGATTCGTGGGATGATTGATTTCGTTGATGGGTATTTTTCATGCTTGAGATCGTTTATAGGCATTTATTTCAATGACTAAAGGTTTTGGTATTGCCAATTGTTTAAAGTATTGTCAAAGATGTTAATGCAAATTATTTAGAATTTTTGTTTTGAGAATTGAGAAAGGTGAATGATTTGGAATTGAAATGAAATGGATCTGAATATAGAGCCAAATGGATATATAGAGGATTGTTTAGACAACCTTAACTAGCTTGAGATTGAGCTATAGGTGATTGATTGAATTTATTTTTTTTGCTTTGTGATTGAAAGTTGTTTTCTTGAGCCGAAGGTCTATCAAAAACAACCCCTCTACCTCTGAGGTAGGGGTACAGTATTTGCAGAATTCTGAAACTTTGAAGTTTGGTTCTAGATATCCATTTAAAACAAAACAACAACATACTCGGTGTAATCCCACAAATGTGGGTCTCAACCGCATCTTTCCCATATCAATCAAGGCTTTCCTTGTGTTTGAAATAAGGGGCAAGAAGCAACTGGGGAGCGTAAGATTGATGTGTACCTTACCTCTACCTTTATAGGGTAGAGAGGTTGTTTCCGATAAACTCAAAAGAAATGTAACCGATGCTGGATAGATATCCCTTTTCTAATGGAAAAATGATTGGTACATTTATCCAGAGGTTATTAGTCCCATTTTGTACATATCGCATAGCTATGCTGGTAAAGATATATGATTCCTGTATACGATGCCTTTCCTAGGCATAGATACATAGCCTATGCTTAAGACCATAACCATAGCTCCTGTTGTCATTTATTCTTAAAGTTCAGATGTGTGAATATCTGCTCTTTACTTTGATGCGGATTTCTTAGATGATTTTCAAAGAACTAAGTCAGGTGATGATTTTTTTTGTCTTTTTAATAGATTCCATGGCTCTAGAACAGTCTTTTGGTGAACCTATTATCGGTTTTGGATCTGATGAAGACATTTCCCTAAAGAAAAGGAACTCATTTCCAGTTCCAATGGCAAACCCTGGAAATCTGATGGGATGTTTTGATTGCAACATTTGTCTTGATTCTGCACACGATCCTGTTGTCACTCTCTGTGGTCACTTATACTGCTGGCCTTGCATTTACAAGTGGCTTCAAGTGGAGAACTCTGCCCCAGGATCAGAAGAGACACCTACATGTCCGGTCTGCAAATCTCACATCTCAAACTCCTCATTGGTACCTCTCTATGGCCGCGGTACATCATCAGAAGAATGCAGATCCAATGAGTCTCAAGTTGATGTGGTCGTACCTCACAGGCCTCAAGCCATTTGGACAACAGCCACTCAAGTTAACACATCATCACCTCCGACTTCTCATGTTCATCAACAACTTAATCACACTTCTTTGTATTATCCACCACCCTCAATTCATCACCAACAGTTCTTCCCCCACGCCTTTGGTGGCTATGCAGCTATAGCTCCATCTACCTTCGGAGGCTCTGGAATGACTCGATTATTCAGCCCAATGGTCGTGATGTTTAGTGAAATGTTTCTCGCGAGGATGTTGGGGGGCTCGGATGCAAGCTCGTTCTCCTATCCTTATCTTAGCTCTTACCCCATCCCAGGAGGCGGTAGCTCTAGAATGAGAAGGCAAGAAATGCAAATGGACAAATCTCTCAACAGATTATCCATCTTTCTCTTCTGCGCCTTCATCTTGTGCCTTCTCCTATTCTGATCACTATTATTACTATATGCTTCTTCATCATTGTACAGATGTAAAAAAATATCTGACTGTACCCGATACCTATGGACGATCTATTGAAACGCATAGGTGGCATCAGTCTGGCGTTAACAACAATAACAACATATCCAGTGTAATCTCACGAGTGGGATCTGGGAAAGGTTAAGTGTGTGTAGACCTTACCCGTACCTCGTGGAGATTGAACATGTAGTTGATAGTTAAAGAAAAGAATAACATGACTTATAGTGATTAAGCATAAAAGGCTCTATTTCTTGCAAAGGTTGCTTTAATCTTCACTTTGTGTGAAGTGCTTTTTTTTTTTTCTGGTTTCCCACTCGATGTCCGGCATCTGTAATGGCATTCTCATGAATTAATTAGTTGAAATATATATCTGAGATCTAGCTTGAGCAATATCATTCAATAAAATATTTAAATCTTAATTTGATATGATTTATGTTGATGGTTGCTTTTCATAAGGTATTGTCATTGATCTAGAAGTGGCTCATATTCACAGGAGACAATGCTAAAGATTTGGTCCATATTATAGATTTTAACAATGTTTTACTTGAGTCGAGGGTCTATTTGAAACAATTTTTCTACCTTCATAACCTTGGGGTAAGGTACATACACACCACCTTTCTCAGACCTCACTTGGGTTCCATATATATATTGAATTGGCTGCTATTGTATGCATCTTTTAGGCTCTTTAGTCCTTCTATGATTATTTTAAAAACTCTTTCGTATATCAGGTGTCGACACAAATTATATTAATATATTACCATAACATATTAGTTGATTTAGTAAAACATTGGGTATAAATAAGTATTTTTCGATATCCATTATGTTACGTTATCTTAGAAAAACAACAAACACGAGGAAGAATAATGTGAGACTTTGAAGCTGTCCAGCTGAGTGGCTGAATGACATATTTTCGTCTCCATTCAATTTTTTCGACATCAAGAATATTGATGCACCATAAAAACAATTCTACTTTAATAAAATTACATAATACTCTCCAGAAATCTTCCGCACCTAATATGAAATACTCATTACGTAATTAGAAAATTTTGCCATTTATCACTTAATTGATGCTTTACTTGTGAGTTGTTCCATCACACTTTGGACATCACTATCAAAGAATATTGATGCACCATGAAAACAACTCTACTTCAATAAAATTACATAATACTCGCCAGAAATCTTGCACACTTAATGTGAAATTCTCATTACGTAATTAGAAAATTTTGCCGTTTATCAATTTTAATATTGATACACCATGAAAATGACTCTACTTCAATAAAGTTACAAAGTACTCACTAGAGAACTTCTACACGTAATGTAGAAATATTCCTTATATAATTAGAAAATTTTGCTATTTATCACTTAATTGATGCACTGTTAGAAACAACTTGACTCGATCCATCACACTTTGGATATCCCATGATGATGATTCATACTTCAATTAAATTACATGGTACTCATTAGAGAGTGTTCACACGACTCCAAAGTATTCGTTATAGAAATATTCAGGATTTCTTCATTTACCATTTAATTGATACCCTGTTTGAAATGATTTTACTCGGTTCATCATATTGTGGACATCGTCATCAAGGATATTGATGTCCCATGAAAACGACTTTACTTCAATAAAAATACATGGTACTCATTAGAGAGTGTTCACATGACTCCAAAATATTCGTTATAGAAATATTTAGAATTTCTTCATTTTCCATTTAATTGATGCCCTATTTGGAACAATTTTACTCGGTTCATCATGTTGTGGACATCGTCATCAAGAATATTGATGTCCCATGAAAACGACTCTACTTCAATAAAAATACATATTACTCATTAGAGAGCGTTCACAGCACTCCAAGACTAATGTATTTGTTACATAAATGTTTGGGAATAAATTCTTGCCACTTATTACTTAATTGATGCCCTATTTGGATTGATTTGACTCAGTCCATTACACTTTGGACATCGTCATCAAGACTATTGATGTCCAATGAATACGATTCTACTTCAATGAAAATGCATGGTACTCATTAGAGAGCGTTCAAAAGCACTCCAAAGTATTTGTTACAGAAATATTTAGGAATAAATTCTTTCATTTACCACTTGATTAATGCCTTCTCTAGAACAATTTGACTCGGTCCATCACACTTTAGTAGTCCTGAGAATTTGAATGTATTCACGATAGATTTGATTTTACCTGAGATGATGAGACTGTGAACTCACAAACATTTATGCATTGAACGAGATCGTTTCTCATTTTGTATTGAAACAATGTATAAAAGCATAGGCTAAAACAATTATTAAAAAGCATTATTTGAATGCTACTACACGAAATGTAACAACAACAAACTCTGTGTAATTCTCACAAGTGGGGTTTAGGAGGATAAGATGTACACAACCTAACTACTACCTTTATGGGGGTAGAGAGGTTGTTTCTTATTGACCCTCGACAACCCTCCTCCTTTATCCAGACTTGAGACCAGCAATGTGAACGAGCTCACATGTATATTGATTCTATTCCTCAAAAATTTTCTTTAGGTGATGTTATTATAACCTTCCATCACCAAAAATGAAGAAGATTCAAAGTTGAATCATCTTACTTTATATGGCTCTTCTCATTTAGGATATGTAATTTTTATCAACTTTCAAGAATTCAAATCCATTTCAACTACTCGAGTTAGAATCTCTGAACATCACATTGATGTTTCAACCACTCTTACAAGGATATCTACAAGCTTCAACTAGTTTCGACTATAAGTTGTTAACGAAACTTAATAGAACAGAGTAGCACATGTGATTTACGCAGTTCTTAAACTGAACGCGTGCCAACAAAAAAAAAACAGATGTATTTCGAAGATTAAACTGAAACACAGTTCACACAAACAGTTTTACAGCATCGAAAAGCCATGGACTATGCAAGAAACACGAAACAAAAGTTCTATCGCTCTTTCACTTGGTACATTGTCACTAAGATTCTGCAAGCAACTTATTTCAATGTTCCAGTTTAAAGTACAGTAGAACTAGAAGCACATCGGAGAGAAGACAGGGAAAACTCGATAAACTAGAACAAGAAAAGAAATCAAGAATGCATATAGCATACCAAGCAAAAACAAATCTATTCAGAAGCACGTTAAGGCACGAGGAATCTTGTGTCATTAGGCCACTACAGAAGTGATCAGTAAAATAAAATGTTTCTAAATTAAATGACTAGAACAAGCAGTTCTTTATTAGTTCCCAATACACAAGAAACAAATCACCATTTACCTACTGTTTCTTTTCTTGATAGGAAGAGAAATTGGCCATGGAGGAAGCGTAAACAAGAATGCTGATGACCAACAAGGCGTTTTTCTAAGGCTACCCCGTCCATTTCTTTGAAATGTACCTCGAATGTCAGCTGGATCAACAAGGGCATCCAATTTTAATGTTTTCATGTTGTATGAGACAATGGTGTCCCCGAAACCAAGGTAAAAGATGTTGGCATCAAGGGGATGGAAGGCAATCGGAGTAGGAATGATCCCATTTAACGCTTTACTAATTAAAATGTCATCAAACGAGATGTCTTTAATCTTTACCTTGTGCTGCAAAGTCCAACTTGAAGAGTCATACTCATCAAGAACCCAAACAGAAATGCCTGAAAATCCAAAGGGATACACTGACACCACAGACGCCTCCACATACCTCAACCGACCCTGATGAACATCAAACAAAACAGATCTTCCGTTATTCCTGGCATCAATGCATTGCTCATCAATATCACCAGGGAGACCAATTACGTGACATTGATTGAAATCATCAAAAGGATTAAACACTAAAATCCCATGTCGACGATCAATCCAATGTAACTTCCCATTCAAAGCGACAGGCCTCCTTAGCCACACAACTTCAATTGCTACATCCATATACACAACAACTCTCCTCCAACGTCCAGTCTCAGACGAGAACACCTCAAACTTAAGCACATACGACTCACCAAACTGACAATCCAATCTCACTACTTTATAGCTCGTCAGAGACCCCCCTTCAGATTTCGTTATAAAACCAGTACTAACATCATCAAAACGTGTACAAGTTCGAGGAATAGCAACACAACACCCCGTCATAGCATTGTAAATATGATAATCACTCACTTCTTCACCCACACCGCAATCATACAAAACTAGCCCATCACTAACTCCAACAACATTACACCCCTCACCAACTTCACTACTACCTACCATATTAGGGAAATGAACCATACTAAACCTTGAATGTAACCAATTATCAGATACCAAATCAGGCAAAAACGACTGAGCTAAAAAGCTACCAATCTTCATATTCACACAAAGAGTGTTAGCAAGAATAGTCCAAGGTGTTAACAAAGAAGCACGAGATATATACAGGGAAGCAAAAGAAGTTGCAGAAATCAAGAAACGCCATCGTTTTGACACAGATTTGTACCTAAAAACACATTTTACAGGCAATCTTGATAAAACTTCAATCAAGAACCAATCTGGAAGATACCCATTACTGAAAAACATCTCTGATTTGGTTTTTACAAGTTCCACAGAAATGGGGTTCTCAAAAGATTCTTCCTTTTTGCTATTAACACAAAGTTCCATCTTTTTTTAGCTTAAATTTGGAGAAAAAAATGATTTTTTAGCAAATCTATTGGTGGGTGTTGCTAAAAAACAGTGAGGAAATTGAGTAAGTGATTTTACCTTTTATAGATTTGAGATTTAAGGGCTTATTAGAGTCAAGCAGACAATTGAAGACTTGGAGATTTTAACAAAATCTAGAATCCCCAATTTCGTCTCCTCGTGGGTTTGCTTTTGAACCTATTTGAGGGTTAAGACTGTCTCAAGTTTCTTGGAGGTTTTTTTCCATATGCTAGTGTGCTTTTTTATTTATTGACAAAAAAACGGAGAACGGTTAAAAACGCTTCTAAAGTATCATATGTCTGAACTATGAGGTGTATAACCAATTATATATGAAAATACGATTTGAGTTAACTGTCATATGAAAATTTACGGGAATATTAAGTTATCATATGTGTTTTGTAGTTTTGATTGTTGTATTCAAACACTTGATCTAGTTAATTCCGAATTATTTTTCTTGCGAGATTCTTATTTGAATTATTAGGTAGATGGAATCTACTTGATAATTGATGGAATACATCTCGAAATTGATGAGACAACTGTCATGTAGATGGAATCTATGAATATATTAATTAAGTTGTTATGTGTCTTTTAACGATTGTATTCAAACACTTGATCTAATAAGTTTTTGGGTGTGTTTTGAAAAATAACTTATGATAGTTCAAATAAAATGCAAAAATCTATTAATCCATATATGAAACTCGCAAAAGAAAATACTTCCATTTTGTTTTTGACTATTATCTCATGAAGCAAAGACTATTAAACTGTACAACACATGGGTAGGGTGATGTACTCTTTTGTTTTTTTTATAATGGAGAAATCTCGTGGTATAAGAAACAAATATTTGGACCTAATTTAATTTTAAATTTATTATCTAACATCATATAAGAAAATCGATTAAGTCATTATCCAACATATAGGAACTCAACATCTTAATATTAATGGCGATGCTAGAAATTTCATATATACTTCATATAATTTTTTTGATACATAATATAATTTTTTGACGAAGAATGTTCGACTAACTAGCTACGACATTGCTAGTGTGCGCCCAAGATTGAACATTTGTAGTAAGAGTCATGAAAAGAGGATTCGACAGAATTCAATAATTTTGATTCAAATCTATATTTTCAACCAAGGTTATAAATAGTTATAAGCAATATTTGTTCAATTTAAATTTGTTGATAATTTCCAAATATATGGTCTCAATTCAAAATTTGAATGAGAAATTAAAAACAAAAAATAGGTAATTACTTCTTATTGTCTTATTTAAAAAAACAAGAATTTGATAGTTAACATTTAACAATCTATTATTTGTTTGATTTTAGAAGTCTTTTATGAGTAGAGAAGACTTTCTTTTCTTCTTCTTTTTTTTCTCTAGAAAGAATGCTTAGTAAACAAAACTTGTTGACTAATTACAAAACTATTAACATAGTTAGAAAAGAAAAATCAACTTACTCTAGAATAACATAAACATGATTTATTTAATACCCTAGATACTTTTATTAATTAGTCATTGGTCAATTTTTAGTAATCTTGATTTAATTAGCACATAAAGTAGTCAAATGGGATTTATTTTAGCACACCAAAACATCTTTAATAAGAAATTTATAAATTACTCAAAGTATATACTTTACGCAATGAAAATTCGTATTTAATCAAATATTATTGTATAAAATGAAATGATTATGAAAGAGTAGTAAGTGGTATCATGGTTGTTCAACAATACTAATGAAGCAGTAAAATAGCTCTTTGTTTTTTATAAAGGACTTGGATATGCGTTGGAAAACGAAATCGACTTTGATAACGCTTTACAAATAAAATATCAAATAATCATTTTTTAACTATATAATTGAAGATTACTATCATGCAATTTCAAAATTCTACAGGTGAAACTCTCGGGATCCTATGATAATGTTTTAGAGTTTTACCTGTGAAATTTTGAAACTTTATTGCATTGATCGTCTTCTATTACATGCTTAGAAAATAGTTTGCCCGTATAATTGTTACAATGCGATTTATCTATAGGGTGATTTTCTTTTAGTACGAATTTGAGTTAGTGGAGTTCCAAAATGGATACGTTACACCGATATAAAACAGAAATATGTTTTTTTTTAATTAGTTGTGCAATATGATTGGTTATTGATCAATCATTTTTAGTAACTAGTTGTGCAATTGTTTACTAATTATTGGTCCATCAAAGTTGGCTCTGGCGGCTAATGAATTTTTCCACATTTTTTATTTTTTTAAAATTTCGTTTTAAACCATAAAACTTAATTTAATTATGTACATAATTTAAACAGGAATGACACTCAAAATATTACTCATCTTTCATCTTTTTTTTTTTGTTTTAATGTAGGTGAAGGTATTTAACTTAATACAAAATATATTAAATTAGTACAATAATAACATTTTTAATATACTCTCACAAAGGGGGTATATATATTAAATTATTACGAATACAAATTACAAAAATCATTTTTTTTAGATGGACTAAAAAGAAAATATAGTATGACATAAATTGAGATAAACAATAATTTTATATTCCACGTTGGATTTTTTGGTCTAAATTAGGGTCGCATATATGAACTGACACGACCCATTTAGAAGAGATAGAGATAATGTTCCCACATTACGATTAATATACCTGAGTTAATTACGTCACTATAACCTTTTAGTTTGTTGATCTATTTTTCGTTTTAGTATTTAAAAAAATGACGTTTTCATTATTAGCAATTTTTTAGTTTCAATTTTTTATAAGACATGTTTAAGACCATAAGACTAAAAAACATTTTAATATATTTTGTATATCTTTAATTTAAAACCTCAAAATTTTAAAAAAAAATTATTTTATTTTTTAAAATTTCATATCAAAATAAAATAGACCAGATAAATTAAAACGGATAAAATAATTTTTTCTTGTTCTTGTCTTGATATGAAACTAGAGTTGGACAATTGGGCAATTGGTATCGTATATTTCGGGTCAAATGTTTCTTTTCATGCCCTTTTTTTTTAAAAAAAAAAGAAGAAGTCCATATCAATAAAATTAATTGAAGTTGTCCCATTAAATATTTTAAGGAATAAAGTCCTTTTCATATGAAGTTGAATTTTAGTTTATAAAAAAATTTAAAAGATCATAAGAAAACTGTTTCAGGTAATCAACTTTTTTTTTAAAAAAAAGTTTTGTTCGATACGATAATTCGATAATTAAGTATTGTATTTTTTTTTATGAGATATGTTCATAATTTGTCCAACATTTGATATGTTCTCTTGTTTTAAAAATCCCATATAGAGATTAAATTTTGATTCTGAAGCCCTAACATTAATATTGTGATTTTGGAGTTACAAGTCAATCAGGACATCCAAATCACTCATTAATGTTACTTACACGGTAAACATTTCATTAGAGTGGACGTTTGGTATTCAATTTGATATTTCAAAAGTTTAATTTCGATAATTGGTGATTTTTAAAGTAGATATATCAAATATTGTACTTTGAAATTTTGGTCCGATACAAAAAATCAAACTTCGATACGATAAATTTTAATTTAGTTCAATAATTTCAATTTTAGATTATTTATGCTCACCCCATATTAGTTTTTCGTATTAAAGGTGATTATATTCTCAATATTCGAACTCAGACATTTGATTAAGAATAAAGAGGTACTTGCATATTTAAATTCTTACGTGTTAGAATTACCCAATCAGCCGCCACACAAGTTAAAAGCGTGAATAGTTTAATGTATTTAGATTCATTAAAAATTGTAAAAAATAGTTTTTTAAAGAATAAAAAAAATAGTGTTCACACATGTAGAAATATTTTTAAAATAAAAAATTGACAACATAAATTATAAATTTATAAGTTATAACGAATGAGAGTAATTTTTAGTGGGGCCCACCTCCTTCAATTACCAATTTACGTAATTCATTACGTGTTTGATAAAAAATAATTAAGTCACTAATAAACAGTTAAACACTAAAGTTGCTTTCACAAATTATATATTACGCCATGGTGTATTAAATTAGATTAGAAAATTACGTAGGAATTTTAATTTTCATAATCGGCAGTAGAAAATAAAAATAAATTTATTCTCCACAAATAAAAAACAGAAAATATAATTGTGGTTAAAAGTTTTAGTGGAAGAAATACAACTTTGACATGTATTCTTGTTGATGTATCTGATACATGTGCTACACTTGCAGTGACAACACAAGTTCTTCTTAAATAGTGTTAAATCTGTCGATTAGTAATAATAATGCAAGTAATTTGAACGTGATTATACACTTGATGAATTATTATTATGGGGACTGAAAGAGCCCTTTTTACAGAATTTATTGGTGCTGCACTCTGCAGCAATGGAGATTGAATCTAAAGCAGAGTATCAAAAGACTCTGAATTAAAGACTTAAATCTCCTTTATTTGAATCTAAAATCATAGCTGCCATGGAAGTTGAAGACTTGAATCTGTTTAACATACTGCTATGCAATCAATTTCAATTTTTGCATTCAAGGGTAATCCTGCTGCTTGAAAAGTTGAACGTGCTGGTGCAGGATCTGGAAAATCTGCAACATTGATATATATATATATATCCATGTTAGTACATAATAGTAATATGCGTTATTTGAGCCGTGGATCTTTCGGAAACAATCTTTCTAACTTTAGTAAGCAAGTGTAAGTCTATACTTTTCAGATTCTACTTGTGAGATTACACCGAGTATGTTGTTGTTTACAATAGTGAATATGCGTTATTTGAGTCGAGGATCTTTTGGAAACATATGAGGTAGAGGTAAGGTTGCGAACATTCTACCCACTCCATGCCCTATTTGTGGAAATTAAACTGGATATATTGTTGTTTACAAATAACATTTTGCTTAAGTCTAAGATCAATCTTGACAGACAAGTCCCTAAATTTCTAAACTAAATAAGACACTTATAATTGCGATCATGCCGTATTATGACTTTTTTTTAAGTTACCATTGCAAACTTAGTAGAAATAATTCAATTTTCGATACCCATATTGACTTCCTGACTTTAATATGAAGAGTTACCAGGGGCGGCTCAACATAATTAGTGGCCTAAAGCGAAATTTTTATTAAAGGCCTAAAATCTATATAAATTTTATCTATATCTATTTATTTTTCTAAATTTCTAGACGTAAATTACTACTTAATATCTTTTATATAATTGATTTTTCAAACACTTTTTTTTTTAATTATTAATTTTAAGTAAGATTTTATCAATTCAACATTGAAAAACATCCTTTTATTGAGACAATTATTATATGAATTATTAACACAATTTTATAAGTAATAAGTTGATAAACTTTAAAGATAAGAGTTAGAATCATAGAATTTGATTCAAAAAGTTGATAACTTGGTATACCTACTTTAATATGAAAATTAACAAATAAATTAAAAAAAAGAATTTGTAATGCACTTTGTTCAACTTTTCGACTATTGATTCATATTTTTGAGAGTGTATTACTCTAACTATCAAAGATTTGAAGAAATATAGTGCAAAAAGAGTTACAACGGATAAGTAATGTGAGTGTTAACGAAGAAAATGTAAGAATCCAAAACAATGTTTCCTTAATTTCTTCTATTTGAATGGGGTTAAGATACATAATTTTTTATTTATAAAAATTTGAGGCCCCCAAAAATTGGGGGCCTAAGGCCAATGCCTAAAATTTTATAGGCAAGAGCCGGCCCTGAGAGTTACCTGTCTTAGGTATACATAATTTCAAAGTTTGACCTGATCTAACTTAATTATTAGTACTAATAATACTATGAAAGGTAGTTGTACTCACATTTAGCATAAATTGCATTGACTTTCTGGAAGTCCCCTAGATCAGCCAACCTGTAGGTTAATAATATTATTATTCAACATCAATAATCAAAATTAACTATGTTATAAGGAAACACAAAAAAATTTAATTATGTATCATACATAATTGTTGTTTTAACAGCTGCAGAATAGCTAACACCACCAGCTTTAAGTATCTCCCCAATATTTTTCAGAGCCTGAAAAATTATTATTAAACTCAAATATTTTTTCAGTCGAACAGTATCATATAAATTGAAACGAAAGGTGGAAGATTATTATTCAAAAACCAGTTCTGTTTGATCCTCCACACTGTCTGATATGAGTACTCCAGTCTACATTCAATCACAAAATAATAATTATAAAAATATTAACCAATGTAACAAATTAAAATGATGTAATTAAGGATTTAAAAATGATTAATTATCACTAACCTCAGGAATAAGACCTAGAGAACCAGATACATAAATGAAATTATTAGCCTTAATTCCTTGAGAATATGGCCCCACTGCAGCTGGTGCCTTATCTGTACTAATATATACACATCGTTAGCAATAAAGATAAAGTGAATTCATTGATTGATTTGCGAGGGAGATATGAATATTTAGTAGGCTTATTTGATTTTAGTTTCCTCTTTAAAGATAAAGTTGCATGCAACAGCCAATACCATATACAAATTATTTTAATTTGTTTCGGTGTGCCACTAGCCATATTTTTTACTTATTTTATTATAACTGATTTTATTAGAAACCATGTTTAAATTATTTAAAATGCTTAAATGTATATAAGCAACTTTATACTCCATATCATTTTGGCACATCTTAATTGATACATATATTTATTTTCCCAATAAAATTCACGTGGTTCAATTTATCTTATTTATGTTTCCCAAAGCAAAGAAAAAGGACCTAAATCGAGTTTAAATAATAAGTATACACTATCTTTAGTGTTGACAATTTTTAACAATGAGATTATTTTCATCTATTATAATAGGTAAATACATCATATTTTTAAGATTTCAAATCTTACCTTTTAAAAAAATTATTTATAATATCACTTGAATGACAATGATAGTGTAAAAAATACTTACACAATTATGTCATTTCAATGATAACTACAGTTAATGCTATTTAATAATTATTTATTGGTAATATATGTTGGTAGGAGATTTCAATTACTTCGCAAAGTAGGCGAGGCCACATCAGAGAAATTACTAATTGAATTTTGCTGAATTCGTTACTTACAGTATGGCTTAGCCTCTGAATTCTTGCATGCGTTTTGAGATAATTATTTTCATATGATATAATATTCACTCACTAGTATACTTTAATTTAGATGTTCAAATGATAAAATATGTTCAAATCATTTCAAACAATAATTTTTTAATTACTTTTATCTTTAATATACGTGTAGTTTAGGCTCTAATTAGAAGTCCTAACATATATCCATGTAATTGACATAAATATACCTAAAATATGCATTTTTAATACAAAATATATAGAGTAAAAACAAAATATATTGACTTTGTATCCATGCAAGATTGATGATACCTTAATACCAGACTATAATAATGCTCATGCATATGGTGCTTAATTCCATAAACTAATTCTATTTTTTTAAGCTATAAATACAAGATTAAAGCACTTAATCAACTCATTAGTAACTAGTTCATTAATTACTAGCAAATATCATAATATATAATGGTTTCTCAAAATATTCTCCTCTTAAGCTCATTGCTTTTGTTGCTACTCTTAAACTTAGGCTATGCTAGTAATGGGCCGATCCCGGGCTCTATGAAAGCCCAAAAACAAGAAAATATGAGCTCACCGGGCTTTTCTATGTGGGAACCATCCGAACTCTACTTTCCTAAGAAACCACTACTATATCGTTGTTTGTATGGATGTCTACCACCGCCGAATATAACCTACCCAAAAAAACATCATCATCATCATCATCATCATCATCATCCTTCTCCTTCTCCTTCTCCGCTTAATCAGCGTCATCATCATCGTCCTCCTCATCAGCATCATCCTTCTCCTCATCATCGTCGTCATCAACCCAAGCCCATGCAAAAGGGAAAACAAGATGGTCACTAGTATATGAAATATAATTAAAATGCCTTTAAGAATATGAGTAATATAATATAATAAAAGAGAAAATGTGTATCTAGGCCTTTCACTAATATTATGTGTAATCTTATTGGACTTTAACTTGTAGTACTATTAGATACAAGAGCATGTATGTTACTTTATTTGTCTCAAACTTATGTGACACAAATGAAATTAAGAGAGTTGAACAAATATTTTTATGATTTTGAAATACTTTAAATTGTTAATTATTGTAATTTATAGTACTTTTTATGTAAGTTTCAAATAGTATATCTTATTTTCTGTCATAATTTATATTGCACAAACATGATTTCGATAAAAGAGAGAATGAAAAAGCAACTCAAAAACATCAATTTGGGATTGATGGTAATAAGGGTTAATTTGGTCAGACTTGTCAAAAGATGATACAATAGTTATAACCAATTAGTATTTTTTTTCAAACCAATCATATTTTGCTTTTATACTTAAATGACGAAGGTGCCCTTAGTTACCAAAGCAAACATGTTGATGTGCTGCGTGCTTTGACATAACAAACTACCTCTTCTAATGTATATAAATATAAATATGAGAAAATGGTCTAAAACCCCTCCAACTTATATCCGAAATTTCAACTACACATTCTAATTTCACGGGTGTCCTATTACCCCCCTGAACTTCATATTTCCCTATTTTCTACACACTTAAACGCTGACCTGTCATAGGAGGTGTTCTCACCTCCTCTAGGCGCGTTAGAAGTGAATTTTGACGAAAATTTCCTCTTTCTCCAACACTCATCTTCCCCACCCTTCAATAAATCATTGTTTCTTCTTCCCCACCATTAACCCTTGTTCCTTTTAGAAAAAAATCATGATTTTCTCTCAAAAATAAGTAGGGTTTAGTTGTTTATGTTCATTTCTACTTCAAATCTTGAATTTAGGGTTTGTAATCTGCTCTAATTTCTTATTTAGGTCTCTAATTTGAATTTTCTTGAAATTCATCAAAAATGGCAAATGAAAACTTGAATAAGCTTTGTATGGATGAATCAAACCCAAAATTAGTTGATAACTACGAAATCAAGTTCAAAATACATAGCAAAATCCTTCGATCATCAACAGAAATGGGGACCCGACGCGTGCAATCACGTGGACTATCTGTTAGGTTTATGTGTTGAGGTCAGCGTTTAAGTGTTTAGAAAATAGAGAAATATGAAGTTCAGGGGGTAATAGGACATCCGTGAAGTTGGAGTGTGTGGTTGAGATTTCGGGTATATGTTGGAGGGTTTTAGACCATTTTCTCTATAATAATATAAGGAGTAAGTATATATGAATGATCAGTTAATTTAATCAATTTAGTTTGATTTTTCGATTTGGATCGATTTTTATTCAAACCTTAACCATCCCTAGTATCAGTTATCCTATTTTAACTATTCTTATTTATATAATAAAACCTTTCCTCGTACTATCAATATCTATATATTAAAACACATATAATATATTATATGATAATAATTTAACTATATAAAAAAAAAAAGGTAACAAATAGTTGAGATATAAAACTCGAAAAAAAAAAATGAAATATCCATGTAAACTTATTGACAAATAATGTGATGCCACCAGGCACCAAGTCTCCCCATTTTAAGTTTTCGAGCACCAAAAAATAGTAAAACTTCACCAATCGAGCGAAAGAGAAAGAGATCTTGTAAGATTTAGAGTTTGGATTCATGGAAAATTGAGAAGAAATCTCCATGGATCGAGTTCTCAAAGCTGCGAGAACTTCCGGTTCTCTCAACCTATCGAATCGTTCTCTGAGGCAAGTACCTAATTATCCTATTTTTCTCGCATTTTTTTGTATTTTTTATTGAGTTGATCTGTTCATTTTGTTCTTCATAACTGGAGATTCAATTTGATGTTCGCATTGTGCGTGAAACGGTGAATTTAGAACATTTTGAAGTTGTGAAATCGTGTTTTTTGGTTATCTGAACTTATGAAAATCGAAGTCAATATGAAGATCGTTGATGATTCTATAGTTAGTTGTACTTTGATTGAGCAATTTTAGCAGAATTAATGAAAAAAATAATCATGAATTCAATATAGATTTAGAGTTTACACACGAATTGATATTGAACTCTGTTCTCGTGGAAATTTGCTGTTAGCTTTGTGTATAAAACAGTGAAATTAGAACATTTTAAAGCTGCAAAATCTGTTTTTGTTGTTACTGTTGTTATAATGTTGAGTGAGGACCGTGGATGGATGTGTAGTTGGATAATAGTAACTTGGATATGAAGATCCTTAACAATTCTAGACTTAGTTATACTCTGATGAACAAGTTTATCACAGCTTTGAATTTTTTTATAAATTCAATATAGATAGAGTTTCACATGAATTGATATTGGACTCTGGTTCTTGTTGAAATTACTGCTGGAAGGAAATGAAGCAACTAGGTGTATATCGTGGTAGCTGGAAATAATCTATCTATTGGTACTTTGGTTTTGAAGAGAATGTGAGGTTAACGCGAAGAAAATAAAGATAGCGGCTTGATTTCAAAAGAAATTCAATCATGAATGATGACGAGCAACTGATGATACCCTTTTTGGATTCAAAATGTAATTTTTTTTCTTTATATGCCATTGTACCAAATCAGATTTTTGTCTAATGGCTCTAATCCTACCGTTCCTCTGCACTATTAATAAAAAAAAAGCGGTAGCTGTGCGAAATTTAGTTGAAGGACGTCACTTTTATTCTGTAAGCACATTATTACTTGTAGATAGATCATTAACGGTGGAGGGGATTGCATATTTTGGTGGACAATGAGATTGCTCATCCTCCCTCCTCCCCCTTTTGGATAAAGGGATGGCTTGAATCGTCTTATAATCATGCATTCTATTCTGATGAATTGTCATAAGGATTACTGATCGCTTTGATTTCCTTAAGTCAATGTACTTTGTTCAAGTTCAGATGAGAGGTTTCCTAGTTTTGTTGGCATAGTCTAGTAATTAACCTTAAATCATCTGTTGGTAGTTGGTACAAAAGCAGAAATACTGGCTTTCGGTAGTTTCAAACTTTAATCACTTTGAATTACATATAAAGCTAAAATACAACTCCGCCATGGATCCAGATACCACTGTTTGTCTTAACTTTTAAAAGGCTAACCCTTATCAGCTTACCATATGGTCAGTGAAATGACTACAGATACTAGGATATGCTCATACAACATTCTGAAAGTTCCATTCTATTGATTCCTAATTCAGTTCGATAGGGGAATCAAACATTTAACGATTACAATGTTTTCCTCGGGGGCAGAAACATAAATCGGGAAGGATTCACTGAATCAAAGACAGTTCAATTCAATCTTAGCCGATCTAAGCTGTACAGTCTATCCGCCCCATTCTGTTGCACTATTAGAGAGCCCAACATGTTCTCTCTGGGGACAAAAGCAATACAGTTGGATAT